AAACTTATTTAGTGGCCACTCAATACACTTCAAATTTTACGTGTAATTTAAATGGAAAAAAACAACTTTTCGTAGAAATATTATAGAATACTTGAAAACGAATATTTTTCGTTCGGAAAACTTTGTTTCTCTTCAAGAGACTAGCAATAATAATAATACCAAATTGTTTATTTTACCATTTTTGAATAGTAACTACCTTTTATAGGTCTCCCAAAAACTACTAAAAACAAAAACAAAATGGCGAACCATAAAAATTCATTAATAATACAAAATGAAAAAAATCGGGTATTATTATTGGAAGTCCGCTGAAGTGAAACAGAGTATCCCGATCGAAAAAAATTGATTTTTAAAAATTGTTTATTTTTACTTATATAAAAAACATGAACAATTTTTTTGCGCTTTGAGCGACCGCTGAATACTGACTGATTTGAAACAATCCTAGCGCACTAAACTTCGCACTTTGCTTTTTTCACATGCAATTTTGGACCACCCTAATGCACATGCATACCGCACGTTCATATACCACACACGTCTACCTTCATACATACATAAAAGCAATGCAATGATGTTGCGAAGCAGGAAAAGAGTTTGCTAGCTGCAGTTAATTTTTTTTTGCTTTTCTTGTTATTAACAAAATTGTTATGGTTGTTGTTGTCATCGCTGCTGTTTATTGTTGTTGTTGTTGTTGTTACAGCTCGTAACAGCATGCAATATTATTATTATTATTATTTTTGCATACGCGTGTACCATTCTTTACATCTATGCACGGAGGAATCTGAAAACGAAAGAAGAAAAATGCAAACAAATAAAGCAACAAATATTGGCGCGTAGCGTACATATGTAGATGTATGTATATACATTCGTATGTTAATATCCAATGTGTGCGGCTGCTGCCATTTGCTTTTATACGCTTCTTATTTTAACTCTGCTTTATTGCGATTGTTGCCAAAGCAAATTAACCCTGTCTGTTGCGTCGTGATTGCCCACATTTGATCTGCCATTTACCAAGTCATTATTATGGAAGTTTTACCGTTAACGATTTTTTTCGCGTCTGGCCAAATGGAAATTGAATTTTGTAGGCGTATAAATATTATTATTGTAATTCTCGGAATATTTTGCAAAATATCAGAATATTCGAAATAGAATACGAGTATAATAAAAAAATTAACTCCCAATAAAATTATGGCTATGTTAAAATTTATCTAATACACAAAGTACTCATAAAAGTATATTATCAAGAACCAGATGTGACTCACAATCGTTAGAGCGTAATTGAAACAGCTGGAAATAAGTTGGCATTCTTAACTTTTAATATTAAATTTAGGCTTTAGTTTGTTGGGGGCAAAATATTTCTTTCTCTTAAGAGAGATGTCTTTTAACGAGGGGAAGGCTGGTCAGCAATAAGCCTCAACAATTTGTAGAAATGCCATTCACACTAATACAATCCTATCGACGCTTATCTTGCATTCGAATCTCTGCATTGGACCCTTTAGCTCGCGTGCGATAGAGTCAAGCAATTTCCTGAAGAGACTCCCGCAAATAATCGAACTACTTTCTTCCTATGCGAATGTTAAAAATTATATAGTAGTGTATTAGAAACCCATAAATTTTCTAGATTTAAACAATATTTGGCATAATAACGGGCGGCTAGGTTGCATCGGCCTAAGCCAAAGCATTAGCTTCCTCATCTTCCTCTGCCCCGCTATATACTGATAATGAAAAATAGTTGACTATCAATGCGCAGAGTTCGCCTAAACTTGGCTTATACCATTAAAAAAGAGAGAACTATAACACCGTCCGACAAAATTAAACTTTTTTTGCACTCATGAAAAAAAAAAAAAATTTTTGGAAAGTAGAGCCATTTTTCTAGAGCAATCGGCCAACCAAATAAATTTACAAATTCAAAATGGCGGATCTAATATGGCAGATGGGTTTTTAGAAAATTTTCAGACTTCTATGAAATTCGATATCGAAAGGCTTTTGGGAACTAAATTTTGCAATCAGCGACTCAAACTTTGAATATCAAATTTTATAAAAATTATACAATTTTTTTTTAATTCTATGCGTCGTTTTGGAACCATCATTTCGAGCTCTTAAAACCTGACGTGGAGCGCATGCAATACAAAGCATTTGATTTGCATAATTGACCAAATAGTCAAACTACATAATATAGCCTAAAATTTCTACAGAGAAAGTACAAATTTGACATCGATTTTAAGCGGTCGTTATTCATATATCCACATTCATAGATATATTACACTTTATGTCAATTCAGGTCTATTACATGCGACCCACGCAATCAATCTCATAAATGGTTTATAATGACTTTTGCTAAAATTTAAAAATCAAAAGTTACCAAAACAATTTCTATGGGAGTAAGAAATATTATTTTCTGCATGCATATACATATGTATGTACATTAGACTGCATCACTCTCCATGCAAAAAAAAATCGGTACTGTTTTTCCATTGGAATCATAAAATCTATTATATTCTACGACGTCCACCAAAATATTTCGGAAAAATATTAAGATTTAAGCGAGCTGGACCGATTTGAAAATACCTCCAAAAATGGAGTTTTTTATAAATAAAAATTGTTTCTTAAAGATGGTTTTTGAAAAAATCCCCTCAAATTACAAAACGGTTTAAGCTTAAAAAATTTGCATAAAAATATTTTAAAAAAATTTAAAAAAAA